TAGAAAGAGAGGTGAGTAGTATTTATTTGTATAAAGTCAGTGTAAGTAGCCGGTAGGTGTAGCCTGGGCTACATCTACCAGCTACCTACACTGTGGCCCAGAGCCATATTATTAACATCGACATGCCTTGTTCACTGAATTTAATCATTTCTAACAACTACCTTTAGATGCCATCATAAACGAAGGTAGAAATAATGAATAATTCATGCCGAAAATTGTAAACAAAAGTGGAGTGGGGGAGTGGCTGGGCCAAACGCAGATTCATACACGTTTTCTCTGATGGCTGAACAGAGAAAACGTAATGTTGTCCCTCCACCCGGCTCCACAAGTATTATTATCAGAGCATATAAAATATGTAATAAATGCCAAACAACAAGTTTACACTAACTTATATTAAATTAGCAATAGAAATAGGCATTAAAAACACAATAAAAGGTAAGATACACACAGAGTACACTTATTACTTACCTTAAAATATTAATATTAATGTGTGAGAGGTGAGTGGCAAGGTGTTTATTGAATAAAATCAGAATGGCACACCATCATCCTCTAACTTGGCACTTAAAGCAAGAGGCTTACGACTTCTCTTTTTATTACAGCTAACCTTAGACGCCATCGTCAATGAGAGCCAACTAGTTAACGAAAGAGTAAACGAGAGAGAGAACGAGATACAGAATTGAGACAATGTAAGAACACAAACTGAACAGGTAGTGGACGATCCCTTGGTCAGGCGAAATAAATGCATATTAACCCTTTGACTGTTTCAGGCCCCTCTCTGAAACTGTCATTCTATGTCGCCAAATATTCAAAAAAAAAAAAAAATTATTTTTTCTTATGAAAATGTTAAGATTATTTTTCTGAGTGTTTTAGTCCAAAAAAAAAATGTTTGCCATCGGTACTTACCGAGATATAGAGCCGTGAAGTTTGCAGAAAATGAGCCGTGTATGGCAACAGCGGCGACTGCCGCTCACCCGGTAAACTTTAGTTTACTTGTAATTGAAGGTTTTTTGTTTTTTTTCACTATTTTATTTTTTCACATAACTTATGTGGCCTATGAGACCAAAGTAAGGTGCAATGTATATATATACACTCGTTGTATACAACACAATAAGCACACAAACTAATTATCAATATATTGTTTACAAAACTTGTTTACAAAAACAAACAAACAAACAAACAAACCCTCCTCCTCCTCCTCCTCCTTCTCCTCCTCCTTCTCCTCCTCCTCCTTCTCCTTCTCCTTCCCTCCTCTCTCCTCCTCCTCCTCCTCCTCCTCCTCCTCCTCCTCCTCCTCCTCTCCTCCTCCTCCTCCTCCTCCTCTCCTCCTCCCCTCCTTCTCCTTCTCCTCCTCCTCCTTCTCCTCCTCCTCCTTCTCCTCCTCCTTCTCCTCCTCCTCCTTCTCCTCCTCCTTCTCCTCCTTCTTCTCCTCCTCCTTCTCCTTCTCTCCTCCTCCTTCTCCTTCTCCTCCTCCTTCTCCTCTTCTCCTCCTCCTCCTCCTTCTCCTCCTCCTCCTCCTCCTCCTCCTCCTCCTCCACCTCCTCCTCCTCCTTCTCCTTCTCCTTCTTCCCCCTTCTTCTCCTCTCCTCCTTCTCCTCCTTCTCCTTTTCCTCCTTCTCCTCCTTCTCCTCCTTTTCCTCCTTCTCCTCCTTCTCCTCCTTCTCCTCCTTCCCCTTCCTCCTCCTACTCCTCCTCCTCCTCCTCCTCCTCCTCCTCCTCCTCCTCCTCTCCTCCTCCTCCTCCTCCTTCCTCCCCTCCTCCTCTCCTCCTCCTCTCCTCCTCCTCCTCCTCCTACCTCCTCCTCCTCCTCCTCCTCCCCTCCTCCTCCTCCCTCCTCCTCCTCTCCTCTCCTCCTCCTCCTCCTCCTCCTCCTCCTCCTCCTCCTCCTCCTCCCTCCTCCTCCTCCTCCTCCTCCTCCCTCCTCCTCCTCCTCCTCCTCCTCCTCTCCTCCTCCTCCTCCTCCTCCTCCTCCTCCTCCTCCTCCCCTCTCCTCCTCCTCCTCCTCCTCCTCCTCCTTGTCTTGTGTGCGATGTGTGGCTTAATAATGTTTTGAGTCAGAAGTCGCAGCTGTCAAAGTGACATATTGTCTCATTAGTCACTACCCCTACCGCCTGTCAAAACAATGGGGTCGGGTGCTGCTTCCCCTCCTCCATTCTATCTAATTATCTTTCACCTCATTCTATATCTTTCAATCTGTCTCTCTTTTATCTGTCTTTGCCTATCTCTGTCTCACAGGTACACATAAATACAAGTATACATGTGTAAATTACCTAGTAACCCAAGAAATCCAGACAAAGTGCTATACTCTGCTTGAAGATTGAGTAAACGTGATGACACAGTCTTGTGGCTCTCTCTGAGACAGAGAGCTAGATGGACAGACAGGGAGCTTGACAGACGACAATAGACCCGACAGAAATGTTTTGTACCAGCAGAAACAAAGAGGGCGATGGTCATGTAATAACCTCCTTTACGCTCATCAAAGTCAGCTCTTATCAATTTTATCTCCCCTTATCTTGTCACTGTCATGGGGTGGACTTTTTTTTCTGCTTCAAGGGAACAATATTATTACATCTTCTTCCTCCTCCTCCTCCCCTCCTCTCCTCCTCCTCCTCCTCCTCCTCTCTCCTCCTCCCCTCCTCCTCCTCCTCCTCCTCCTCCTCCTCTCCTCCTCCTCCTCCTCCTCCTCCTCCTCCTCCTCCTCCTCCTCCTCTTCCTTCCCTCCTCCCTCCTTCCTCTTCCTCCCCTCCTCCTCCTCCATTGCTTTTGGTCTCAAACTCCTCCAAATCATGAAATTGATCTTCACTGACACTTCCATCTGTGTTAGAGCATCACTTGGGAAGAGAAGAGTCCCAGATTTGCTGGGGAATCACATATTTCTTACCGCTAGACATGCTGAAAAATGACAACTGAAATGGCATTCCCATAATGCACCACTGGCTCCCCGATTTTTTTTATATGGTGCACACTGACCATGGAGACCCATTCTCTCACATGTGGGCCTACCAGCTTTCTCCTGCTTGATTTGAAGCTGCTAGAATTTATGCGTATAAATACGTCAGAAACATTGGCTCGTAAGACGTATTTATACGTTGGAAACAGTCAAAGGGTTAATATGCGTCTACTTGTAGTTCATTCATGTCCATTTGTAAGAGTTTGTAAAACATTTACCTCAATATTTTTTTATTTTAATAATACAGTAGTCCCTCGCTGTTCGTAGTTCTCGGCAGTCGTAAATTTCGCCAATCATAGGGGTATTTTCGTATAAACATGGACTCGCTTTTCATAGGTTGACTCGCGAATAGTAGTTCGTCCGGGACGCGTACGCACGGTGTGAGCCGGGGAGGCCTCCCTACCCAGCCAGTCTGGCATTGTTTACCAGGAGTGAAGGTCCCCTCAAGTGCTCCTACGAAATATTTCATAATATTCGGCTCATTTTAGTGCTTGCAAGTACTAAATAAGCTACCATGGCTCCAAAGAAAACTCCTAGTGCCAAGCCTGTGGTAAAGAAGGTGAGAAATATGTACAGTGACAAAGTCTTGGGCCATTTTAGGGAAGTGTTAAAGAGACGCCAGAAACAGAGCTCTCTCCACAGTTACTTTGCGAGACAGGACTAGAGTGACTCTCAAGGTGGTCCTAGTGACATTAACAAAACAGAGAAAAGAAGCAACCCCAGAGAAGCAATTGGTACCTGAGGTGTTGCTGGAAGGGGATTCCCCTTCCAAACTGTAAACAATCCAATCTCTCTCCTCCTCCAGTCCCCCATACACTAAGAAGAATCTCCAATAAAGGTAAGTGTTATGCTGTTAATGTTTCATTCATCATTTCCCATTGTATTGTTTATGTACTACATGTATATTTCATGTAAAAAAATTTTTTGTTTTAATACTTCTGGGTGTCAGGAACGGATTAATTGTATTTACATTATTTCTTATGGGGAAAATTGATTCGCAAATCGTAAATTTCGTTTATAGTAGCTCCTCCAGGAACGGATTAATTGCGAAAAACGAGGGACCACTGTAATTACCTCACAATACAAATACTCTTACATTGTGTACAAGTTGTACAAGTTAGTTCAGAATAAACAAACAGCAACACACCATTTTTAGAGTGAATGGAGATAATAATAATAATAATATTGTTAGTATTAATATTAATAATAATAATAATAATAATATTATTAATAATAATAATTATTATTTATTATAAAAAGCACTAAACCCACAAGGGTCGTGAATTGCTATACATACAGTAAAGGCATACGAAAAGAATATTTTTCTACAGTTACCCCCCAGTGTTTGACTAGAGAAAACGTAATTCTTCCGACACTACCTACACAGCTGCTTTGTAAACAAATCTCATATTTACATCAATTTTTATTCTGAGTGTATGTATCATGTTTATATGCTATGTAATGGGTTTCATATATAGTTTTGAGGAAAATATCATAGATGGATTAATGAAAATGCCTATATTATTGTAAAATAAGACATTTAGTGTGCCCAAGAGTGATTATTATTACGTAGTATTGGAGTCATGAGTAGAGAGAGACTTAGCGATTTTAATGTGTACCTACACACCAGCACAGTGTGTAAGTATATTTAGGTACAGGTACACATAAGTATAATTATCGGAGTACATATAAAATATGCAGTAACTTTAAAACACTTGAAATTTTGGAAAGTTTCCTGACATAATAGATGTAGTCACAGAAAATGTAAGCAAACCGGGTGGGGGGGGGCGCCGTATTTAAAAGACCGCTTGCCGTACAGCAAATTTTGGTCATAATTTGACCAAAATTTGACCAAAATTCCGCTAATATGGCAGAACTGCCGTATTAGCAGAACGCCGTAAGGCAAAACACCGTAAAGTGGGGCCTTACTGTATATTTATTTGCTTATTTACCTGTATTAATTTATTTATTTACATTTGTTTATTATGTTTGATCGTACTTTTTCTAATGAATTGACTAATCTTAAGATTAATCCAATGAATTTATTCAACAGTGAACAGGTTGAATTAGCTGTTGATGTACTGGGCCAGCTGCTACCTCTTGTATGTGCCCAGGAAGTTGTAGAACGGTTCAGTGCTGAGCTCTTGCGCGGCCTGAACCATCCACACGAAAAAGTTCGCATCTTAGTTCTGAAGCAAGTAAGTATCCAGACCTTGAGTTATTTAAAAAAAAGGTAGTGTTTTGGGAAAAATAAAATATTTGTTATATTGTAGTTGCATTTTTACTTGTTCAGATATCACATTCCATATTATTTTTATATATCATTTCTGGTTACCATACCTGTCATCTTGATAAATTTGTTAGTGGTACAGTGGACCCTCGGTTATTGGCCATAATCTGTTCCAGAAGGTCAGCTGAAAACTGAAATGACCGAAAACCAAAATAATATTTCCTATAAGAATTAATGTAAATACAATTAATCCATTCCATACATAAATATTCACACAAAAAAAAATAATATTTTTAACAATTATATAAATATTACATACCTTTATTGAAGGCTAATGCTGGCTTCTGGAAGACAGGGAGGAGGAAAGAGGGAGGACTTAGTGTTTGGAAGGGGAATCCCCCTCCATAAAGACTTTAGGTAGCAAAGCTTTGGTGTAGAGTTTTTTGAAGTTAGAAATGACCTGCTGGTCCATGGGCTGGAGGAGAGGAGTGGTGTTAGAAGGCAAAGACTTCACTTTTTTAAAATTGAAGTCCCTAAACACTTGGCCTTCCAAGTCTGGAGGATGTGCAGGAGCACTGTCCAGTACCAGGAGACACTTGAGTGGCAATTTCTTTTCCAGGAGGTATTTTTTCACACTTGGGATAATCTTATCATTAACCCACTCTTTGAAAATTTGCCATGTGACCCATGCCTTATGATTAGCTTTCCACATCACATGCAATCTATTCTTCATGACATTGTTTTTCTTAAACACTCTGGGATTTTCTGAGTGATACACAAGTAAAGGCTTCACTTTGAAATCCCCACTAGCATTACCACACAACAAAAGACTAAGCCTGTGCTTGCATCCTGGCAGTGCCTTTTCCTCCTGGGTAATGTAGGTCCTGTTTGGCATTTTCTTCCAAAACAGGCCTATTTTGTCACAATTGTACACTTGTTGGGATTTCAATCCTTCAACCTTTATGCACCCCTGGAATTCCTGCATGAATTTTTCAGCCACACATTTGTCAGAACTTGCAGCCTCACCATGCCTTACAACACTGTGTATGCCACTACTCTTCTTAAATCTATCAAATCATCCTTTGCTGGCCCTTAATTAACAAACTGCAGCACTTGTTTTAGGTATTTTCTTTGCAAGATCCTCATGCAGCTGCCTTGCCTTCTCACAAATGATCAACTCCCCAGCACTGTCTTCCACTTATTCTTATTCTTTTTCCTTAATCCACAATAATAATAACTTTTCCATCTCTTCCATTATTGGTGGCCTTTGTTTAGTTAGAAAAGTTACTCCTTTTGCAACACTAGCATCTTTGATTTGTTCTTTCTTTGCCAGGATGGATGTAATTGTTGATTTATTCTTGCTGTACATCCTGGCAAGTTCCAGCACCCTCATACCACTCTCAAACATTTCTTATCACTTCACGCTTAAAATCAATGATGTTTCTCACTTTCTTTACCACAGGAACTTTCTTTGGAGTCATGGTTACTTATTTCACAGTTGCACTGCAAAAATAACACAAACTACAATGGGAAATATGAATGTTTGGATTAAGCAAATTCCTTACCACGAGAGATACAGCCAAACTGACTGTGCAAGCAGCCCAAGCTGGCAGACGGTCGTCCAACAGCTGATTCGAATTACAGCCGTAATAAACTGGACACGTGGCGAAACAGAAGGCTGTAACGGGGTCCATGTACATAGTACTGAAGTTTCAGTACCTGTGAATTACCTTGTTTTAAGAGTACAGGAGGGCCCAACTTATACGCAGTTAGGTTCCAGCTCACCCCGTAAAGCGGAAACGTAAGGGACCGCCGTTAAAGTGGAACACCCTTTTTTTCACTTTATAAATGCATACAAACACTGATAACAAGTTACAAACATTATTAGGTAGCAATAGAACAGGATCAAACAACAATAAAAAGTACAATACACACATAGTGACTCATTACTTACCTAAAATATTTATAGATGCTTATCTAGGTGAGACAAGTATATTTATTGTAAGAAATCAAGTGTGGTATGTATGTGTCAGCAGCTACCATACCAGGCCACCCCACCCACACATAATTCTATGATATTAAGCATCCAGAGTAAAATGTATATACAGTTCACTCATTACTTACCTTAAAATATTTTGTAGTCTTAATGTAGGGTCAGAAGTAAGTAAATGAGATAAAACGAATAAATGAGAAGAGAAGAATGAGTACATGATGGGACAGCGGCAGAGTTATGTAAACAAACCAGGCGAACGTAAGTTTTGTAAACAAACGAAGTGTACAGTTGGTTTGTGTACAAGTTAATTGTTACAGGTTGTCTCTACATTGTACGGTAGAATTAATAAAGAAAAACACTCCATCTCAATGTAAATCATTTGAGAAAGAAATGAAGCTTGAAGTGAAGGCCATGGAATTAAAGCACACTGACTTTTTGGTTTAAATCCTAGGTTTCTACACGTTGTTGTTATGTATGATAATCTGTGTAACGTATTGTGTATACCATGAATAAACTTAATACATACAAAAGGGAAAATTTTCTACAGTTCCCCCAGTAACACATTTTTATGTAGATTAGAGAAATGTTATTCTGCGTCACGTGTACAATGATGTAGGCTCCACACTATTTTTATGTTATTATCTATTGTGGGTGTATTATCATCTTTTATTTTATGTATCGTGTTTATTTTATATCTGAAAAAATAATACATGAGGAAATGAAAATGTGTAATTAACGTAATATCACTTTATGAGATGGTGAGTATGTTAATTTTTATTCTTTCAATTGCGACTTGTGCAAGTCGTCTGCTACCACATCTTAATTTATGTTTATTTATTCTATGTGGGGTGTATTTTATCTTATTTATGTTATGTATCGTGTTTATTATATAATTTTTGGGAAAAAAATATCATGGATGGATTAATGAAAATGTGTATATTACGTAATATACGACATTTAATGAGACTCGGTGAGTATTGTTATTATTATTATCATTTCTAATATGGCGTCACTTGTGCAAGTCGTCTGCTACCACATCTCACATTTATGTTTATTTATTCTACTGTGGGGTGTATTTATCTTATTTATATGTTATGCATCGTGTTTATTATATAATTTTGAAAAAAATATCATGGATGGATTAATGAAATTGTGTATATTACCGTAATATACGACATTTAATGAGACTCGGTGAGTATTGTTATTATTATTATTCATTTCTAATATGGCGTCACTTGTGCAAGTCGTCTGCTACCACATCTCACATTTATGTTTATTTATTCTACTGTGGGGTGTATTTATCTTATTTATATGTTATGCATCGTGTTTATTATATAATTTGAAAAAAATATCATGGATGGATTAATGAAAATGTGTATATTAACGTAATATACAACATTTAAATGACTCGATGATTATTATTATCATTACTAATATGATGTCTGGAGACATAAGACACTTACCAATTTTAATGTGTACCTGCATGCCAGCACAGTATGTAAGTTTATTTAGGTACAGGTATACATAAGTATAATTATCAGAGTATATATAAAATATGAAATAACTTTTAAAAACATTTGAAATTTTGGAGTTTCCAGACAAAATGGAGAGACTTAGTGCTTACTGAGCTCATGGAGAATGTAAACAAACAGGGTGGGGCACGGTGACCGTATTAGAAAGTCAGGTGGGGGGAACCGTATAGCGAGTTTTGGTCATAATTTGAAATGTCCGTATTAGCGGAACGCCAGTAAAGTGAAACGCCGTAAAGCGGGGCCTTCCTGTACATGGAACTTAATCAATTCCGTGACCTTGTTTGTATCCTGATTTGTTCGTATGCTGAGTCACTTTTCCTCATTTAAATTAATTGAAAAGCCATTAATCCATTCCAGTGGAATTCCTGCTCTCAGAGGCAGGAAAAATACAGTATAACACTAATATCACCTCTACATCTTATTTATCTATCACAATTGATCTAATATGACATAATAAACAATATAAATAACATAGAAACCTGATTTATACTCTAGAATGAATAATATATGTCATTATGTGACAAATGGAGGTGGCTATAACCACTCCTGCATTGTTGTGGTATTCACTGCCATCTAGTGATGGCTTTTCGAAGCCGTCTAATATTATAATTATTATTATATTATTGTACCTGTTATTATTATTATTATTTTATTATATTATATATTATTACAGTGGACCCCTGGATTACAAAATTAATCTGTTCCAGAGAGAGTGACTTATCCCGAATCTGAAGTATTCTGAATTGATTTTCCCTATAATAAATAATGGAAATCCAATTAATCCGTTTCAGACACCTAGAAGTATTAAAAGAAATGTTTTCTACATGAAATATACATTTACATACACAGAAAACAATGACATATGAGAATAAAGCAATAATAACATCACACTTACCTTTATTGAAGACATGGTGATGTATGGAAGATGGTACTTCAGGTACCAAGTCCTTATCCTGGGTCACTTCCTTCCTTTGTTTTTTAATGCCACTAGGACCAGCTTGAGAGTCACTGGACCCGTCACTAAAAAAAGTGTTCCAGAGAGGTCTGTTTCTGGCGTATGTTAGAAATTGTGTTGGGAGACAGGACAAGATAGTCCTTCAGTATAACACTAATATCTGTTCTATGGCTTACTAATTTAGCACAATTCATCTAATATGACATAATAAACAATATTAATAACAGAGAAAAATGATATGTACTCTAGAATGAATAAAATATGGCATTAAGAATGTCATGAGTGGTGGTGTGTTGTTTGTTGTTGGGTGTATAAGGGCCACTTGAAAGATAAGCCTCACATAGTGGTGGTGAATGCTGTAGTGTTAGTCAGTAGCCCTATACAGTATATATGTACCTCCAACGACAATGGAGGAGTCAGTTTTGTGCTGTCCTTTTTCTATCGATTAATCACTTAACTTACTTGCTACAGTTAATGCTACACTTCGT